CTTTTTTTTTTTTTATGTCCCCTAGACCTAAACAAGCAATTAACCCTCACTATTGCAGCCCCACTGCAATAGAGATTGTTCAAGTTTCCCAGATTTCATATGTCAGATTACTATTCCCTGACTTCTATATTCTTCCAGTTATAAATACTAGCCATATTTTGCTAAATTATACCACATATGCCTAACATTATTGTTCAGACTGTCTTTGTCTTGTTTGGAGTTCTTTTTTAAATTAAGTGACAATGATGGAACTACAAAGCATGTTGGAAGTTTGTAATCAATAGATAGCAGAGCAGTAGGGAAGGCAACGCCTTAGTCAGTGAAACTTTCCTTTCTGCTTAACTTTTCCAAGTCACTATGAATGAACTGTATCCTGCTGAGATATTGTATTATAGTATTAGGGAGGAAAAAAAGAGACACTCTATGCAGCAAAGTGACAATAAAATGCCGTTGCACTTGCTTTCAAAGCAGCAGAATATTCTACTGATAATCTTTAGTAACATGAACTAATTATTAATGCTGCTGGCAGGAAATGTGTCTTTTTGAGATAAAAGGGAAGGTAAGGAGAGAACAGGGCTGAACACTTGCACACTCCTAGGTTTGGTCCTCTAGAATAGTCCATTATTTAATTCTGGGAAATGTCTTGATTAGCCTAACCTTTGCAAGCAGTTAACCTCTTGAGAGCTGCCAAATCAGACTGAAAAAAGTGCATTGTACAATTACACAGCAGTATGAAAATACAAAAGTGGATATACTACACAGTGTAAAGTACATGAAATGATTAAAACCTTTACTTTGTAACAAAGTCACTAACTATAAGAGCAATGTAATCTTTCACAGTAACAAGCATAAGTGGCCTTGATGAATTATAACAAAATAAATCCATACTAAAAAGTGATGGAATAAAAGAATAATAATTAGGACAATAAATATATTTTGCTCTCTTTTATCATGGTGTATAGTAGATTTTGTTATTTAATAGTGTAACATCACTTTTGAAAAAAAAACTCTCCTGGTCAAATGTATTGTGAGCATTTTGACAAATGTCATTGCAGTACTCCACTTACTTCCTGCTTTATTAAAGTGATATTTAAGATTTAACTTTTTTTTTTTTTAATAACAAACATGTCATACTTACCTTCTCTGTACAGTTGTTTTGCACAGATCAGCCCCATTCCTCTTTTTCTCGGGTCCCCTGCCTGTGTTCCTGGCTCCTCCTCCTTGACCAGTGCCCCCAAGAGCAAGCCACTTGCTATTGGGGCACTGATGTGTACTCGCTCCCTAACCCCACTCTGTGTGTTCATCAGACACATAGGGGTTTATTTACTAAAGCTGGAGAGTCCAAAATCAGACTCCCTTCTGCATAGAAACCAATCAGCTTCCAGGTTTCATTGCCAAAGCTTCATTGAACAAGCTGAGGTTAGAAGCTGATTGGTTTCTATGCAGAAGGGAGTCTGATTTTGGACTCTCCAGCTTTAGTAAATAAACCCCATAGAGACACAGCTCAGACCCACCCCAGCTCCCTCCTCATTGGCTGTGATTGGCTGCCAATGGCTCCAGCTGCTGTGTCTCAGCCAATGAGGAGAGAGAGACCTGGGACAGCTGAGCATCACTTGATAAAGAGGGGGCTCAGGTGGGTATTATGGGGGCTTTGGGGGGGAGCAGCACACAGAAGGTTTTTTTACTTTCATGCATAGCATTCATGAAGGTAAAAACCTTCAGCCTGTACAACCACTTTAATGCTGAGTGTTAGGGTCTGCCTGCTTTAGTCACATGACAAGTCTCCGGTTTGAAATAAGAGAAAATAAACTTAAAATATATTAACAAAATCCTGTCAATTGAAAATGACATTTCTGGTTACTGTGATAGATATTTTGGGCCTACAATAATTTTTAACATTGTTGTGAACTTCTGATAGGGGTCTCAATTCCTGCAACTTATTTACCATCTGTTGCATCATCTCAACACCCCCCCTTACAAGGGTTCCTGCAGAGGTTTATGGCAGTATGGCAACCTATCTGAATAAGCCTTGGCGTAGTCATTTCTAACACCTCCTAGGGAGTATTGTCATAGATCTTCCTTTGGGAACTGGCTTCAAAGGAGGTATGCTTCCCTGGACATTGGCCTATACAGTTGGCCAATAACTTTCACAAGTCACAGAGCCCCCCTTTGAACAGAAATGGCAAAATATTGAAACTTATTGAAGGGTGTGCCTTTACTTGGAATGGAGGGGGAGGGGATATAAAAGTATGCCATTGCTCAATTTGTTTCTTTCCCCTTTTCCTTCTCTTGAAGCTCAGTCATCAGGATGTCTGTGTAATGTATCATTCTGTGTTTCTTTTCTGTAACTTTCTTTCCTGTAGTCATCTCTTTGTATTGGTAACATTCTGTATTTGCATTGTAATATTACTACTTATAAAATTATACCAGTTACATTATATTTTGTTATATTTCAGTAATTGCAAGCTTCTTTTCTGTGTAAATAAAGTAGATCTTTATTTTTTACACAGTTGTTATCATTTGGTATTAACTTTATTGGTATTAGCCACATCAGGATTGGCCAAATTCATATATAGACAAAAGGTTGTATAATCTTAGATAGAACCAAGTGAATAAGTGTGGTAGCAAAACCGACAAAAACATTACAAGGAAGACACATTTGATTTTTTCAAGTTCAAGAAAATCATTGCTGGCTGCATATTTAAACAGCAAGATAATATTTAAAGACCTTCAAATCAACTATGAGTAAAAAAAAAAAGATACTCAAACTGCAATACTCACCTTTAGTCATCAGAGTTATGTTTTGTTATGAGCGTTTGTGTTTAGAAGTGTTTTTTAAAGATAACCTCAGGAGACCTTCCAAAATGGCCAGAGTACACTGAAAAAACGTAAAAAAATTAACTAATTCAGACATTTTTAGATAAATAGAGAGAGCAGAAGCAGAGAGAGCAGTATTTGTTGAGATTAGCTGTCTTTTTTTTTTTTTTGTGGTGTTTGGATGTGTTCCAGCTCATTTCTGTGCAGAAATTATTGCAGCAGTGTCTAACATATTTTCTTTCATGTGAAACTTCAAAGCATGGTGTACCAGGTCCATTTGAGTACCGGGAAAATCCTTTGCATGCATTTTTCATGCTGGACAGCATCTGGAAATGGAAGAGTTAAAAACGCAAACACTTATAAAATCGGTTAGCCACATTTACATGCATTTACACACGTTTACAAGCGTTTGGCATTTGAAACGCTGATAAAATCTACTCCTGAACGCAAGTTTGATGCGTTCAAAAAAAGACTGTAAACTAAACAGCCTGTAAATGATTGTAAACGACATAGTGTACATGGGCACATAGGAAAACATTAGGGAGAGTTCAGGGGCTGCTGAAAAAAATGTAGAAAAGTTCCTAAAAGTGAGTTTATCAGCTGCAGTGTACATGTAGCCTTAGTCTTTTGGGTTGAATGGTATCCACTGTTATTCATCCAGGAAGACTGAAGAAAGATATAAGTGCAGGGTGTCATGTTATCACTGCTCTCTGCATCATCCAGAACAACCTACCACCAGTAGAAGACTGAGGGGAGTTAAGGACCAAGTGAGTCATGTGATCAGCCAGACTATTATTATTATACATGATTTATATAGCGCCAACAGTTTGCTCAGCACTTTACAATATAACGGGAGACAATACAACAACAATACAGTTCAATACAAGAGGGTTAGGAGGGCCCTGCTCCATGGAGCTTACAATCTAAGACTAGGGGAGGGATTACGGGTATGGGAGTACAGAGTTGGTCTATAAAGTGACCCATTCAGTTTGAAAAAATATAAGGCACCATGCAATAGAAAAATGTTAATGCATGCCTCCTTGGTGGCTTGTGTCTACTACCTTTATTCCAGTGCTGCAGCCAGACTTTTCCAAATTTACCACTATTAGGAGTGTTGGATGCATTGGTCCCCCCACAACAAGCTGTGGTTCCATCATCTGATCGCAATGTCATTACATGAAACTAGTGTCATAGGATTTGAAAAACGTAACCACAGCATTGGGCTGGGGACAAAGGCACACATAAAGAAAGATCTGGTTTCTATAAGACATTTCAGAGCTTAAAGCGATTCTAAAGGTTAATTTGTTTTGTAAAATAACAATCATGTCTATACTTACCTGCTGTGTGCAGTGGTTTTGCACAGAGAAGCCTGGATCCTCCTCTTCTGGGGTCCCCCACAGGCTCTCCTGGCTCCTCCTGTCTCTTGGGTGCCCCCACAGCAAGCAGCTTGCTATGGGGGCACCTGCTGCTCCATGTGTGCATTCACACACAGAGCCATGGCTTGGCTCCACCCCCTATCTCTCCTCATTGGCTGACTGGCTGTGATTGACAATGAGGAGGCAGAGACGCAGAATAGCCAAGGCTGTCATTCACATCGCTGGATCACGATGAGGCTCAGGTAAGTATCGTGGAGGCTGGGAGAGCTGCTGCACACAGAAGGTGAGCCTTTAGAACCACTTTATGTCCCTGGGCGTGCATAAGTACAAGTACTATTACATGCAAATTACTGATCCTAAAAACAGGAAATTAAGTGGATCGAAAAGAAATAGCAGATTAATATTTAAAATCCAAGGGCAGAGAAGGGAGATAAACTAGGCTGATGATGATTATGAAATACACAGAATTTTGCAGTATTTGCATGCACATTGTTACATTTTCATGGAGATACACTGAAAATGTGTTTAAAAGTTAAAGGCCTTTTTTTTTGGTTTAGGTTAAGTGCGAAGGGTTCAGGGTGGGACTGGGAGGAAGTCAAATGTTAGAATTTGCTAAAGTGTTAGAGACACTTTACATTTTAACCGCCTATAAGGTAATGATGGGCTCAAGGTGGTTCCCTGGTTCTGGGAGGATGTTATATGACGTCCTCCCACTCTAACCGTGCGAGCACAGTCCCGGGGGGGGGGGGGGGATTGCAGCACGGCTATCGGTGGTCTGCTGTGTCTCTGGGACACAGCGGATCACCAATCAGTGGAAAGAGCCGAAGACTTCACCTCTGTCATGTGATCAGCTGTGTCCAATCACAGCTGATCACATGTAAATAAGGAAATGCCGGTTATTGGCATTTTTCTCCTCATGAGCTGTCACGCTGACAGCTCGTGAGGAGAGCCGTTAATCAGAATTTCTCAGAGGGGGCATCTACACTGATCATCAGGGCACGGTCAGTGCCGCCTATCAGTGCTCCTCAGTGCTGCCTGTCAGTGCCCATCAGTGCCACCTAACAGTGCCAGTCACTGCTGCCTATGAGTGCCATATATGAGTACTGCCTTTCAGTGCCCATCAGTAATGCTTGTCAATGCCCATCAGTGCCACCTACCTGTGCCTCCTCATCAGTGTCCATCAATGCTGCCTATTAGTGCCCATCAGTGCAGCCTATCACTGCCCATCACTGCAGCCTCATTAGCGCACATCAGTGAAGGATAAAAATTACTCATTTACAACATTTTATAACAGAAACTAAGAAAAAACTTTTTCTTTTCAAAATTTTCAGTTGTTTTTGGTTTATCAAAAAATAAAAAACCCAGTGGTGATTAAATACCACCAAAATAAATCTCTATCTGTCTCAAAAAAATAACAATTTCATATGGGTACAGTGTTGCATGACTGTGCAATTGTCATTCAAAGTGTGACAGCGCTGAAAGCTGAAAATTGGCCTTGGCAGGAAGGGGGTAAAAGTCCCCGTTATTCAAGTAGTTAAAGACATTAGGTTGCTTGATATTCTCATTTGGTCTCTGTGCCTGTGTCATAACCTGCCAGTGTTGAACACATGTTGCAGAAAACTAACCAGGTTGCCATTGATATACTTTTTTTTTTTTTTGCTTTCTGCCAAAAAAATCCGTTTATTTGTGGCATAACCAAGATTGCAATTGGATGGTCAATACTGCTATTATTTTTTATAACTAGGGATGACTGACAGACACATATCACACCTATCATACCAGTACATGCTCACTTGTGTAGGTAGCATTTATTGAAATCATCTGCAGTGGGCACAAGGGAATCCCATTTTAAAACATATGCCCTTCTGACTTATTTTTTTTTTGTCTAAAGAACCAAATTTTTTGATGGAATGCCTATGTAGAGCAGGAATTGTTCCACTTATTGCTGATCAGCTCACATACTCACATCAGCTGACCTGCTCAAATGTATACTTGCCTTGAAATTGACCATACTATGCCCCATGATTACTAATGATGGAATTGTCCTTATAGTTTGGAAAAAATTCAGTATGTGTTTTTCTGGTCTAGATCTTTCTAGTCAACAGACAATACAGTGCAGTGATTGTGCTGCATGTTTTCACACTGGAAGCAGTCTCTGTACATACTTTTGATATGACCAATGAACAGTCAATATGTTTCAAAGTGCTGCGTCTGCCTACCTGCACATAATCTATGCATGCCTGAAGTATGAACAGAAGCTTCTTTGACATACACTGAGGTCCATAGAGGACAGTGTAGTGAAAGCACACTGTATAGTCTTCTGAAAAGATGCTGGCACTCTAAGCTACTTAACCCTGCATATCTTGATTGATTTCAGGTACTTATATAGCACTGTCAATTTACGCAGCGCTTTACACATATATATTGTACATTCACATCAGTCCCTAACCCTCAAGGGGTGTACAATCTAAGGTCCCTAACTTACAATCATACATACACATATTAGGGCCAATTTTAGACAGGATCCAATTAACCTACCAGCATGTCTTTGGAGTGTGGGAGGAAACCAGAGTATCCCCACACAAGCACAGGGAAAACATGCAAACTCCATGCAGGAGACGCCATGGTCGGGAATTGAACCCATGACCCATTTACTGCAAGGCAGACGTGCTAACCACTAAGCCACTGTTTGTTTTTATGTTTGTTTGTTTTTTACAGTCATACTTAAATGAATACTTTAATAAAGGTACCGGTACATACATATTGGAAGATGGTTCCATATTATTCTACATTTCAATATACATTGATATAAAAGATAAGTATATTTCTGCATTGAGCAGTAGAAACGTTTTTATCTATTGCAGTTTTCTTCTGCGTCCTAGCTAGTTCCAGGCAAATAGTGTTCAGCAGGATGTACTGTATAAAGCTAACTGGTGGTGTTCATTTTCAACTCTGAGGTGACAGACATCTAGTTAAGCATTCTGTTAAAACACTTACATTATGTGCTGTAGGCTTTCATATCACAGCTTGTTAATAACAGGAGATGGGAGCAACTATATTTAACCCACAGCACAGAGAACGTTGGTGCTTAAAGGATTAGAGAAGAGCGAAGCCTGGCGCTATGGAGGAATGTTCCACAGATGCACTATTTCATTTTCACCTTCTATTTAAAATCTACAAGTTCCCTCAAAGTGAGGAAGAAAATTCAATAAAGTCAAGACTGCAGGAGGTATAAATGTTATATTTTAGGATTGCTTAGAATTTTATTTTAATTGATGTACCTAAAGCAATACAGGATTATCATACAAATATGACAATTATAGCGATTACAGAGGTTTTTGGCTCAATAAATATCAACATAAACTGGAAATGTGTGTGTATGTATGTGTATGTATATGTATATATATATATATATATATATATATATAAAATGGATTGGACAAAAATATGGAAACAGTACATGATTTGCAGGAGTTAAAGTGACATGTTTGCATTGAAAAAGGAAGCTACATTCTTTTGCTTCCGCTGTCTGATGAGATACCTAGCTAACAGGTGGGAAGCCTCAATTTCATCATTCACTGTGTGCATTGCTGTTACTACAGAGTCATGTCAGAGCTTACTGAGCTTCAGAGGGGCAGATTGTTGGTAATCACCTAGTGGTGTCGCGATGTACAATACCAAAGTTTACGATGACATATATACTCTATATCAGTGGTCATCAAATCACGGACCTCAGTTCGGAACTGGACTGAGGGAGAGTCCCGTCTGGACCGCAGCTAAGCCACCACCGGGTGCCCTCCCACGGGCCCCCCGCCCAGCCACCGGCGCCATCCCCACATCGGGTGGGGTGCGAGGAGCTGCAGGTCAGGACCAAGGGGCAGGAGCTGCCCAAATCACAATGTCATCAAGTGGGCGACCACCCGGCCCGCCAAGATGAAAAGATTCCCGCCTCGAGCCGCAAAGAACGTAAGTCCCCACACACCAAGAAGCCAGTCAATCACCAGCTCCCACCCTCCAAGCCTTGCCCATCATGAGGATGACACCGGTGGCGGGGATGGAGGCCTGGAAGAGGACACCCAGCAGCAGCAGCAGAAGTGGCATGGCCACGGTCCAGATAGGACTGCCCCTTGGTGGGCAGGATGCAAGGAGCTGCAGAATGGGATCAAGGGGCAGGAGCCGGCAACCACCCAGCCAGTCAACATGCAAAGACCTCCGTTCTCTGCAGCTCGAGACAGAAAGTGGGAGCCCCCCACACCAGCAAGCCAGGCAATCGCCCACCTGCCAACACAACAACCTAGGCAGCTCCCAACCCCTACACCCTGCCCACCATGAGGATGACTTCGGTGGGGGGCCAGAGTCCAGGAGAGGACACTCCAGTAGGATTAGTGTCTCTGCCCTGCCTAGTTACCATAGGACTCTACAGGGAAAGGCTTGCATTAAAAGGGGCTCTGTGTTGTGTTAAAGGACACTGTGTTGTTAGGGGCTGTCATGATCCACCCAGCGGTATCTCTAGCAACCCACAGAACGGGATTCCCCAGGGTGCGGGGTCTAAGCCCCAATCTGCTTATTCACCAGGGCCCCTGATGGTGGGGATGGACTTGGAGCAGACTGAGACCAGGTCGTGACCCCTGAGTGCACCCGACTGTGGTAGAGGGAAACGCTGGAGGTATGTATCGGAAGAGAGCCTGATGTGAAGAGGCTGGCAGACCTGGGCAGTGGTGACCGGATTCGTGCAGGATGGATGAATGACAGAGTACCTGTAGCGTAGTCAGGCAGGCCGGGTCGGTAACAGCAGAGGCAGAACGGTACAGAGCAGCTGACAGGGAGTAGTCGGGTCACAAGCCAGGTTTCAGCAACAGGAGGTCAGGTAATCAGGAGTAAGCAAAAGAATAGTCAGATGAGCCAGGGATCAGAGCAGGAGACGGTCAACAGAGGTCAGGATCAAGCAGGGTCGGCAACAAGGTATCTCACGCAGGAACAGACGAGCAGGGAACAGGAAATGAAGACCATACGGCAATGTGATCTCTGGGATTCCTGACAGGGGCACTGTGTTGTGTTGGGGTGCTGTGTGTTTTAGAGGTACTGTGTTATGTTAGGAGCGCAGTGTTTTTTTAAGAGTGCTGTGTTATGTTATGGGTGCTGTGTGTTTTATGGGTGCTGTGTTGTGTTAGGGGTGCTGTGTTGTGTTAGGAGAATGCTGTTGTGTTAGGGGGTGCTGTGTTGTGTTAAGGGGCACTATGTTATGTTAAGGGGCTCTGTGTTATGTTAAGGGTTGCTGTGTTGTGTTAGGGGCACAGTGTTGTGTTAAGGGGTGCTGTGATGTACAGGGGGGCAGTGATGTGAAGGGGAAAAGAGGACACTATGGGACTTCTTTAAAGAGGGGACTGTGATGTAGAGGGGACTACAGTGAGAAAGGTCCGCTAAAGATCATAATGTACCGGGAACTGTGGTGTGTTATATTGCTAATGAGATTCAGACCTCTGCTGGAAGGAAATTTTTCTGACCGGAGCTCCGTAAATTTTAATTCAAGACCCCTGCACTATATGAGAAAAGGTTTGTGGACGCCTGATAATCTCACATACTATATGGCAAAAATAACTGTATGTGACACCCGCTCCTAATTATTGAGTGCAGATGTTTCCAGTGAATGTTCTTGTTAATGTTACAGCATACAAAGATAAATTAAACAACTGTATGCTTCCAATCTTGTGATGACAGTTTTAGGATGTGACTGTGCCCAAAATTCAGGTCCAGAATTATATGGTTTGATGAGCTTGGTTTGGAGGAACCTGAGTTGCCTTGACCTCAACCCCATTTAAAGTATTTGGGATATACTCAAATGCCTATTGCATGCCTTCTTGTTCAATCTCAGTACTAGACCTCAAATACTCTTTTTACTAAATGGGCCAAATTGCCACAGACACACTTTCCAATGGAACCTGTTATAGCCCCAAAGTGTTGTTCAATTGTATATCAATGCTCATGGTTTTGGAATGACATATTTAACAAACTTGTATACTATAGGTCTGATGGTCAGGTGTCCACAAGCTTTTGATCATATAGTGTATTTTCAGGGAAAATATCATCTGATAAGCATAAGCACGGTTGACGTAGTCAACTGACTGAAAGAGACAAAAGGATATTGCACAGGATTGTGACCTGGAATAAGAAAACAACTGCTGCAAAAGTGACTGCAAAGGTCAATCTCAGTCTCCCAAAGCCTGTGCCCACAAAAACTGTGTGGAGGGAACTGTGTGATCGATATTAATGCTCAGACGAGGAACGAGTGGAGCAACAATCATAAATCGTGGAATAGAGATCAATGGAAGACTAATAATTTCCGATGAATTAAGCATCACATTTTTCCCAACCACAGGACTTGTTTACGTGCTTACGACCAGGATCGTCTTATGCCAACATTAAGGCATAATGGTGGCACAATCATGGTTTGGGCAGCCATATCTTGGCATTCTGTAAGCTCCATAATCACCTTGAAAGGTAGAGTCATTGCCAGAAATGTACAAATTTTGGCCTACATTGTGCACCCCTTTGTGCAAACATTGTTTCCTGAAGACAAGGAATTAGCAAGACCATAATGCTCAGATTCACACAGCTGATGTCGTCAAATTGTGGTTTGACGAGCATGCTGACAAAGTCTCGCACCTTCTCTGGTCACTGCAGTTGCCGGACCTCAATATCATAGAGCCACTATGGTCAATTTTGGAGAACAAGGTTTGGGCTCGTTTTCCGCCTCTAACATATCTACGAGAACTGGAACGATTTTTGCATGAAAAGTGATATTAGATTCTATTATAGAAAATCCAAGCCGTCTTGAATGCCAAAAGCGGTCCAACACCATATTACGTAATAATTTAATATACCAACAATTTACTAGGATCTACCAGGAAATATGGGTATCTAGCGAGCCTTGGGAAATGTTGCTAAATAACTTTTTGGTACTATTGCCTGACTGACAAGCTGCATGCTAATTCTAGGACAGTAAGGCACCTACACATCATGTCTATTAACTTGTGAAATCTTACATGACCTTGTAAAATCAAAACTTAATGGGTGACAATATTTAACTATAGCAAAATAAAAAGAAATGTCATGCCAATCCAACTGTTAGACTGAGATCTTTGTGCTAGCTTACTTATACAGAGCTAAAATTTATACTTAGGTGTATGAAGTAACAGAGGCTGACTAAGCAGTGCATTTTTCAAATATATATTGTATATACAATATTACTACCTGAAGAAAATGACAGGGCTTAGAACATGTTAAACAGTCATACTCAAAAATATATTTACATATTTACATACAATCATGGCCACAAATATTGGCACCCCTGAATTTCTGTCAGATAATGCACCACTTCACCAAAAAAATTGTTGCAATTACAAATGTTTAGGCATTCTCATGTTTACTTCTTTTGTTTGTATTGGTATGACACAAAGAAGTGGAGAAACAAAAAGACAAATCTGACACATTCCACTCAAAACCCCAAAAATGGACTGGACAAAATTATTGGCACCTTCTCAAAATTGTAAGAAATAATTGCATGCCAGATTTGTGATGCTCCTGTAATTTGAAGTTTACAGCTAATGGCACTGTAACTGTTCTCCCTGGACGTAGACGAAAAAGAAAAACCTGATCAGAAAAATTGTTCAAATGGTGGATAAATAACCTTGATCAACTTCCAAACAAATTCAAGCTGACCTTCAGGCACAGGGTACAAATGTGTCAGCTCGCACTATACATCACAATCTGAATGAAAAGGGATGCTATGGTAGAAGACCCAGGAGGATCCCACTGCTATGGGCAATGACACCAGTTAAGCTAGAACTTGTCTCACACACTTTTTATTAGTTACTTGTATTCTTGTGTAGCAATCATGCACACAGAGATGGACACGATCATCCATTTTGCTCCAAACCCCTCCATTTTGTATCTCTCTCTCCCAATTAGATTCCTCCGATATACCCCCTCCCTCTCTGTTGAGTGACATGTGGTCTGTTTGATGCAGAGTTCAAAAGGCAACAGGCCCCAGTGAGAGAGCCCCATGGCTATAAAACCCCAGCCGAGCAGGTGACTAGATGCCTGTTAGCTTCGCAATCTGGGATATCATAACACCATAAACCAAGTCCTTCACTGAGTTCACAGACATTCCAGGTAGTCGTAAAAACAGACTTACATTTAAAAACTCACTTTTCCATATAATTTTATATCTTCAAATAGGACATAATTACATAAGCAAGGAGCACATATACGGATGGCTCACGTTAAAAACAAGTCGCCTGGTATATTGCACCCCTAGCTGGCATATACAGGAGAGCAGAAAACTATATCTCCTTAACCATCCAAGCAGGTATATCATATTTCATATGTAGATGTTCAGCAGAAGATTCTGGGTATTAATCTACTGGTGGATAGAATGCTATATGTACCTAGGAAAAGTTATTTGTCATAGTATAATTTGCGAAGGCTTTGGTCATAGCCTGAGCTCCCCGCCTACACAACCCCCTCCCCAAATGAAGTGATTGGTTCTCTGCTTCAGGGAGACACCCTGTGGAGTTCCTGGAAAAAAAGCTGAGTTGAGCAAAGTTGAAGAAGCTCCCTTTTAACATTGGAACTAACGTTGGGAGATAAGACATCCTTTTGGCTCTGAAACCTGATCTGCTTAAAACCAAGGCTGACGGCAAGTACTTTATCCCTCTAAACTTCTGTTATCTCTTTGCTGTGCTATTGCTTTCTGTATATTTAGATATATATATTGGCTATATCTTTTTCTGTAAATATTTTTATTGCACCCTTTTGACCTTTTAGTAATAAATCTTACTTTCTGAAAGTGTTGAGAACTGTTTCTAAAGCTCTTTAATGCAAACTAAGAATCCCTGCCTCTGAAAAGCGCTTTTGTGTGTGTGTTTTAAACTTCGGTATATATCTCTGCCTGCGCTGACAGTGGTATTGTTAGGATCCGCCAGGTGGTGCCCCTGGCTGCCCACTTGACAGACCTACCCAAAGCGTGGAGTCTAAGTCCCGGTCTGTGCTTTCACCAGGGCCCCTGATGGTGGGGATGGACTTGAAACAGACCGGGACCAGGTCACGACCTCCGAGCAGGCCCACCAGTGGCAGGGGCAACCTCCGGGGATGTATTGGTACGGGAGAGCCAGATGTGAGGAGGACGGCAGGACCTAGCAGGATGGATCACGAGCAGGGATCCCGTGGGGTAGGCGAGGTACAGAATAGGCAGGCGGAGAATCGTCAGGTCACACGCAGGGTCAGCAGGATAAGTCAGTCCGTAGAGAGGTCAAAACAAGCCGGGGGTCAGGATGGGAGAAGGCAGAGTAGTCAGGACAATCCGGGTCAACACAGGAGTAGGCAGCGTAGTCAGGGTCAATCAGGGTCAAAAACACAGGTACAGGACTCAGGAACTCAGATAGACCTTGCGGCGATTACTGACAGTGCAGGGCATCTTTAACTATTGTGCCCTGCACTGTCATTGGCGCTCGGGATGCGCCCCCGGGCTGTCATTGGCCGCCCGCGGGTCCCACTGCGCATGCGCGGCATCCTGTCATCCACGGCTCGCCGGGACCTAGTGCCTGTGTCCCGGCGTGAGCCGTCGCCAGCGCGCATGCGCCGGCCGGCAGGACGCCGCGATCCCTGACATTGCCCCTCCCTATGGACACCCTCCGGGAGCCCCACTGATCTCTCCACCGCGGGTGGCCACGAAAAAATTCCCGGATGAGCCTGGGGGCGTGAACATTCTGGATGGGTACCCAAGAATTCTCCTCAGGGCCATAACCCTTCCATTTTATCAGGAACTGCGTCTGGCCCCCCTCTCTTTCGGCAACTGAGAATAGTTTCTACCTCATATTCCTCTTGGTCACCTATGGGTGACTGCCTCAGGAGGTCTGGATTGGCGATCCGGGAAGGAATTTGGTCTGGATGGTTTCAGGAGAGAGACATGGAACACAGGGTGTATTTTGAAAGACTCCGGGAGCTCAAGTTCGTAGGCCACTTCATTGATCACCCGTTTAATTGGAAACGGTCCAAGGTACTTCGGTCCTAACTTCCTGGAAGGACACAGCATTTTCAAGTTGGTCGTAGCCAACCAAACCTGATCCCCCGGCTGGAGCAACAGCTCTCCTCTTCTCTTCCTGTCGAACGCCTTTTTACTATCTTCTTGGGCTTTAGTGATGGCCTCCTGAATCGTTTTGTTATTGACAGAAAAGAAATGCAAGACATCTTGAGATGCGGGTACCGGACTTTCGGGCATTAGGTCGGGGAGAAACGTAGGATGATATCCGAAATTGGTAAAAAACGGTGATTGTCCCGTCGCTGAGTGGCTCGAGTTATTATAGGCAAACTCTGCAGAAGGCAACAGTGTTAGCCAGTCGTCCTGAGATAGGAGGTGTAGCATCTGAGGTACTGTTCCAACGTTTGGTCCTTTCCGTTTTGCCCGTTGGTCTGTGGATGGTAAGCGGATGACAGTGACAGTTTGATTCCTAATGCTTCACATAAGGCTTTCCAGAATCTTGATGTGAACTGGACTCCCCGATCCGATACTATGTCTTCGGGTATCCCATGTAGCCTCACTACTTCCTTGATGAATATCCGTGCAGTCTCCGGTGCCGACGGGGTTCTTTCCAAGGGCACAAAATGAGCCATCTTTGAAAAGCGATCCACGATCACCATTATAGCAGTGTAGCCTTGAGACGGTGGGAGTTCGACTACAAAATCCATGGCAATCATTTGCCAGGCCCGTTTGGGTATCGGCAATGGACGCAACAATCCCCAGGCCTTGCTTCTGGAGGGCTTGTTCCTTTGGCAGGTGGGACAGGTCTGGACGTAGCGCTCGCAGTCTTTGACCATGTTTGGCCACCAGAATGAGCGCTGTAGTAGCTCCAGAGTCTTCGTCACCCCAAAGTGCCCTGCCATTGGATGGTCGTGGCAGTGCCCCAGGACGAAAGTTTGAACTCCTTCTGGCACCACGATCCGATTTTCCTTCCAAAGCAGACCATCGCGGTTCTGGAGAGGCGACCCAGGCGGGACTGGCAGTCCAACGGAAGCGTCAATCAGTCTGGAGCGAAGTTCCGTTTGCAGGACGAGGAAGCTTCCGGATGGCAAAATTGTGTCAGGTAACACTGTATCGTTGGGGTCCTCAAACATGCGGGACAGAGCATCTGGTTTTGTATTCTTAGACCCAGGTCGGTACGTTATATGAAAGGTAAACCGAGAGAAGAAAAGAGCCCATCTCGCCTGGCGTGGTCTCAGTCGTTTCGCCGTCCTTAAATACTCGAGGTTCTTGTGATCCGTGAATATTAGGATTGGGTGTGTGGCTCCTTCCAGGAGATACCTCCATTCTTCTAGAGCGGACTTGATGGCCAGGAGTTCCCGATCTCCAATATCGTAATTGCGCTCCGCCGGAGTCAACTTCCTGGAGAAAAACGCCACGGGATGCAGTAACTCCTTGGTACCACTCCTTTGGGAAAGAATCGCTCCTACCGCGTTTTCGGAGGCGTCCACTTCCAAAACATATGGAAGAGAAGAATCCGGATGGCAGAGAATGGGAGCAGAAGTAAACAATTTCTTGAGCGTGTCGAACGCGGTCTGGGCTTCAGGGGTCCATTTAAAATGAGTCCCTTGTTTAGTCAGTTGCGTGATTGGGGAGACCAGCCCTGAGAAGTTCCTGACAAACTTTCTATAAAAGTTTGCGAATCCAATGAAACGCTGTACCCCCCTCTTATCGTTGGGTGTTGGCCAATCTAAGATCGCCGTGACTTTCTGGGGATCCATCGCGACCCCCCCGCGGGAGAGAGGACCAGTCCCAAGAACGTTATTTTACACTGTTCAAAACAGCATTTTTTTGCCTTGGCGTAAAGCCCGTGTTGGCGTAAACGTGTTAGGACCCTTGCCACATGCTCCCTATGAGCCTCCAGTGAGGGTGAAAATATCAGGATGTCATCTAGGTAGACAACCACGAAGACATCGAGGAAATCACGAAAGACATCGTTAATAAAGTGTGTTGGAAGGTGGCCGGTGCGTTACAGAGCCCGAACGGCATCACCAAATATTCGAAATGACCGAATCTCGTACGAAAGGCTGTCTTCCATTCATCCCCCTCCCTGATACGAACAAGGTTATATGCCCCCCGCAAGTCTAATTTAGTAAAAATCGCTGCTGACCCTAACCTCTGGAGGAGCTCAGGGACTAGGGGTAACGGATAGCGATTTTTTTTACTGTGATTTTATTCAGGTCTCGGTAGTCAATACAGGGCCGTAACGATTTGTCTTTTTTTTCTACAAAAAACAACCCAGCCCCGGCCGGGGACGTGGACGGGCGAATAAATCCCTTCCGCAGATTGTCATCAATATACTCCCTCAAAACCCCTGATTCTAGTTCCGATAAAGGAAAAATGCGACCGAATGAAATCTCAGATCCGGGTAGGAGGTCTATGGGGCAATCGTAGGAACGGTGTGGGGGAAGAATGTCTGCTCCTCGCTTACTGAACACATCTAAGAAATCGTGGTAGGCCGGAGGGATAACCTGAGACAGATCCGTATCACCATCCATGCATAGGAGAAACCAGGGAGGCACGGGCCCTGGGACGTGGCAGTGATCCCGGCAGTATGGTGACCAAAATTGAACCGTTCCCTTCTCCCAATCAACCTGGGGGTTATGGGCCCGCAGCCAAGGAAGCCCCAGAATGACTGGGAAAAGGGGGGATGCGATGGCATCCAGACGGAGGAACTCCTGATGATGGTCAGCCATCGTGGTAAAAATAGGGGAGTCTCCTGATCCACCACTCCCGACTTTATGCTAGACCCGTCTGCCAGGAAGATGTTAAACCCCCTTTCTTTGGTCTGGAGGGGAATCTTTTGCCGGTGAGCAAAAGTAAGATCAATGAAACAACTACATGCTCCCGAATCAATGATTGCGGTCACCGACAGGGTTCCTCCGGGAGCTGTAACGACACAGGTATTGCCAGGTAACTAGATAGGTCACCCCTTTCTGTAGGTAAAGGAAAACAGGAAGCGGACTTACTCATTTTTGCAGGACAGGAGCGCACCTGGTGACCAGCTTCCCCACAGTACAGACATAGGTTCTGCGATCATCTCCTCTGTTGTTCCTCGGCCGATAAAGTGGAACGGGCCAGTCCCAGTTGCATGGGTTCTGAGGTGTCCCCTGCTTCCGTGCTCCGGGCATGGTTCCCTGGGGTTGGAGCTGCTTCTCTCGGTGGGATCCATGCCACCCTTTGACCCTGGCTACTCCTTTCCAGGCGACGCTCTCTCAGTCTGCGGTCAATTTGGATGGCCGACTCTATCAGTTTCTCAAGAGAGTCCGGTAGTCCTACTCGTGCTAATTCGTCTTTTAGCGACTCAGACAGCCCAATGCGGAACTGGTGACATAATGCCGCATTGTTCCATCTGGTATCTCCCATCCAACGCCTGAAATCAGACGCATACTCTTCGGCCGCCCGGCGGCCTTGCCGCAGAGAGTATAGAGTAGCCTCTGCGGAAGCAGCCCGCTGGGGGTCGTCATATAGGACGGCCATGGCCTGAAAGAACTCAGTCACGGAATCGAGATGGGGGTCACGCTTCTCCATCAGGCGGTGAGCCCAATCCTGGGGCTCATCCTGAAGGAGAGAGATTATAAACCCCACCTTGACGGTCCTCGACGGTGAACGTGCGGGGCTGCAGGTCAAAAAATAAAGTGCACGCGTTCCGGAAGGCCCGAAAGCGGCTTCGGTCTCCACGGAATCATTCTGGCAGGGGAACGCGGGGTTCGGGAGCTAGGGGTGCCGCAACTGCTCCGGATGCTGGAGCAGCGGGTGACTCCGCAGTTGCGGAACTTGGAGCAGGGGGAGTCTGGGTGGCAAACGTCTCCATGGGGTCCTCAAGACGGGTGCAGCGGCTGTGAAAAATTCTGGAAGGCCTGGGTCAGAGTCGCCAGGTGCTGGCATATATCCTCTAGGGACGCCGGTCCTCTTCCTGGCTCTGTCATGGCCGCAAGGTACTGTTAGGATCCGCCAGGTGGTGCCCCTGGCTGCCCACTTGACAGAATCCTACCCAAAGCGTGGAGTCTAAGTCCCGGTCCTGTGCTTTCACCAGGGCCCCTGATGGTGGGGATGGACTTGAAACAGACCGGGACCAGGTCACGACCTCCGAGCAGGCCCACCAGTGGCAGGGGCAACCTCCGGGGATGTATTGGTACCGGGAGAGCCAGATGTGAGGAGGACGGCAGGACCTAGCAGGATGGATCACGAGCAGGGATCCCGTGGGGTAGGCGAGGTACAGAATAGGCAGGCGGAGAATCGTCAGGTCACACGCAGGGTCAGCAGGATAAGTCAGTCCGTAGAGAGGTCAAAACAAGCCGGGGGTCAGGATGGGAGAAGGCAGAGTAGTCAGGACAATCCGGGTCAACACAGGAGTAGGCAGCGTAGTCAGGGTCAATCAGGGTCAAAAACACAGGTACAGGACTCAGGAACTCAGACCTTGCTGCGATTACTGACAGTGCAGGGCATCTTTAAATATTGCGCCCTGCACTGTCATTGGCCGCTCGGGACGCGCCCCCGGGCTGTCATTGGCCGCCCGAGGCGCGCCCGCGGGTCCCACTGCGCATGCGTGGCATCCTGTCATCCACGGCTCGCCGGGACCTAGTGCCTGTGTGTCCCGGCGTGAGCCGTCGCCAGCGCGCATGCGCCGGCCGGCAGGACGCCGCGATCCCTGACAGGTATACTGATGATTATTCAAACATCATAGTGTTATTGCTGATATTGCTGAGTTTCCTCTTTCTCTGTACAAAAAGGAGGTGGTGGCAGTGTGAAGGGTTAATTGCGTAACTAACCTGACCCAGTAACAATCGCTTCCAGGCTGCTGGCACACAGGTTTGTGGTCCATTTAACTGGAAAATCTTTGTGCAGGGTGCAGCTGGGCGTAGCATTGTTACGCATGTGACAGCGCGGTTTTAGATTGGCTAGTCCTTCGTTCACGAGTTTGGTGAGAAGGGCTGGGGTCTGACACCGCGATCGTCACATCTTGTACCTTTAAGAAGGATGGGGCTACCTTCAAAGTAAGATAATACATTTATTTATATGCATGCATTCTGATGTTTTAGTTTGGGTGCTCACAGAAATAGAAACAGGGACCACAATTTACAGATTTATTATGTGGTGGGTGTGTTCTTTCAAATATATTTTCAAATTTGTGCACCTAAAAATCTAAAATGTTATAAACAGTTTATAGTGAGAATTTTATTGCTGACTAGCTGGATAGAGTGCTAGAATGTATGTGTATGTTTGCACAGGTAATTATTACAAGGATTTATGATGTAAAATAAATTTGCTTTAGTAAGTATATCATTGCTAAATGCCTTCATGGAATCCCATATATATATATATATATATATATATTTATTTATTTAAGGTACTTATATAGCGCCATCAATTTTACGCAGCGCGCTTTACACATATATATTGTACATTCATAGCAGTCCCTAACCCTCAAGGGGCGTAAAATCTACGGTCCCTAACTCACATCCATACATACACATACTAGGGCCAATTTAGACAGGATCCAGTTAACCTACCAGCATGTCTTTGGAGTGTGGGAGGAAACCGGAATACCCGGAGGAAACCCACGCAGGCACAGGGAGGGAACATGCAAATTCCAGGCAGGCGGTGCCATGGCTAGGATTCGAACCAACAACCCTAATACTGCCAGCGGAATTGCTATCCATTTAGCCACTGTGCTGCCCTATATATATATATATATATATATATATATATATCTATATATATATAATTTTTTTTTTTATCATCTCAATAGCTTTTTACATGCTGAAAAGTGCACAATTTTCAATGCTATACCCTACTAATCATACATTTTATAGGTAGGAATCTGTTTATGGATTATTTTGTCATCGTGCTATGACATAACAAACAAATAATGGTACTGTGTTCACTATTTAAAAAGTCAAAGGTTGAAACAAATGTATAGATACTATGCAAAGGTCAAATAGTTTTCTGGTATTTGCAAATTGGTTATTTTCTGCAGCTTGAAATGTAGAGATGCTAGTGACCTCCATAAATGCAGTAATCTTCCCTTCAAGAAGTTCTCTCCCTGGAAGCTTGTTATAAGTAATAACTTAACCACCCATTTTTCATTATGGTCCCTTGTGACTTCAGTGAACCTACAAAGTGCCAGTTAAGACTTTCAGATCACATTCATGCTACCCATAATTAGGTCCATATAGAGAAATGGGGTAAGTACACTTTAATCTTCTATTCTTTATTTCTTTCAAGTGTCATTTTCCATAGGAACATTAAGCAGAATGTTAGGCAGGAACACTTCCCCACTTTATTACATAAGTAAGATCATAACCAATCTATAACAAAATCCACATGGCCAGCTTTTGATGTATACTTAGGTCTCCATTTGGGATTCATGATTTGTACTTCTGAATCTGATTTCTATAAGACATGGGTTCTCTTCAGGGGCCTGACCTGGTACAAACACATTATGGATTAATACAGCAATAAATTATAATGGCATACAATCTCCCTGTGTGATTTACTCTCACAGCAATAATGGTTTCAAGCTTGTAAATGGAGTTCTATATTTTACATTTGCACCTTAAGAATAAAGATTGTTATAAAGTTAAAAGGTCCATCCACCATAAATTGATATTTTGGAGTTTTATAGATGATAGAGAGGTAAACTACTTAATGATTTCTAATATTGTTTAAGAATCCAGTCAAGAGAGCTCCACTCTTGAATTCCTATTTTAAAATACTCAGTACCTACATTCACTGCTGGATTCTTAATTTGTATAAGATCCTGAAGAAAACAGTGGAAATGGAAGCACTTTAAAACAGTAGTAAACACCGCATGGTGACTTGTATTTACACAAAATATATCTCCTAAATGTGCATTGTTTAGGAGGTCTTCATTATTTCTGCATCCAGTGACATCACTGATGCATGCTCACTGCACGCTCGTATGCCGTCCCTTCAGATTGCTATGCCACAGATGTGGCTCCAGGTCTCATGCACAGGAGTCATGTTGTTGCTGCTTGGCCATTCAAGTGGCCGGAGCCTGCAAACACGAAAGGAAGACTGGGTGAAGATGGAAGCATGCCACTGGAGGGCTTCGTTTTAAGGTAAGTCTTTCATTATGTGCTAGTATGCGATGCAATGCATACTAGCACATTATGACATTGTCTTGCAGATACTGTATGTATTGCTTTTGGACAGGGTACATTATTATTATTTTTCTCTCAGTAACTATAATAATTTTTAATTTGTGTTTTTGTTGATCTATCTACCTATGTAAAAAATATAATACCTGTCAAGATATAACATGCAAATTTACCTCAATAAATGAGTCTTAATGAAACAAGTTTTGTTTTAATTAGTCCCTTTTTGTAAGATATAGTTAAGATACCTTATTAAAAATTCTTCATATATCCACTTAAATGCCAGAAGATTTTACCAACTTATGGGACATAAGGACATCCACAAGCTTTTTTGACCACCACACTGCATAAATCTTCATTTTTAAGCAGACAAGATATATACCTATTATGCAGATCTGGCGGTTTCCACACAAAGTAATCCCGAATGGGGTCCGGTGGCACCTTTTATAATTTGCCAAATTTGAGAACATTGTTTCCATCAGTATTTTCTGGATTGTGCAGACACATTTTGTATTGAGGTTGGCGGGATCTTTCAATGGCGGTTTCAGTGTGAAGGCTCACGGGCTGGGCATGCATGTATGGTTAGCGACCGCTGTGGGTATCATTAAGTGCTGACAAGGCTACAATAGATACAAATAATACACTATTCTCTACAACTTACCCTTGATGAAAGAGAGTGATCTGAACCGTGTTGGGTTTTTCATGGATGATAGAGAATATCTCACTTAATAAGTCCACAACTTTGGATCCTTTACTACTTTTTAGCCAAAATGTATGCACTTTGCTAATTTTGTACACACTGCACATATATGTGCTTTTTAATGCTTTGTAATAAAGTTTTGTAAATTTTACCACAATATTCCCCCCCCCCCTTCCATGGGTGGTTTGCCTTTAAAGTCCCTTTCTTTTGGAGGTCTCTCATTGGTTTACAGTGATTTGGGACGTTGGCAACAATCCTTAGAATCTAGATGGTGATAAGTACTCAAAGTATTCACAAATATATGAACACAATAGTAATAGCAGTGAGTGAAAGCCTTAGTACAAGGCTACTTTTGTGAGTCGTGATTATGAATAAACATGTCTTTTAAAGAAATTTGATACCTTTTGAACTGGTAAAAAATACCTTTTTATAGAGTTTTTTTTTATATTTTCCTGTAAAAAAAAGAAACCTGTTGATTCTGCCAAAAATCTTGTAGACTGATAATCTTGTAGACTAATAGCAACCTATGCTGAATGCACAGTATTCAGAGATCAGGAGTATATAATGCATGAGCACAGGGTTAAGCAAAAAGTTCCTTCTCTTCCAAATACAATTTCCCCCAGGGCAAATGTGGCCTAAGCACATCCCCCCCATAGAATATTAGCAAACTTTGGAATTGCATCTGTTGCACAGTAACCTGAACATTTTACTGTCAATTCAGGCCTGCTGGCCTGCCTGTAGCTCAGAGCTAAGGAGGAGTTTTCCTTACCTCTGAGCTGCAAATCTGATAGGTCACAGGGGGGCAGGCTGGCAGGCAAGTGAGCCTGTTGGTGCAGATAGAAGTTACTAGCTTCCAAACACTTAAATTGTCACAAATCATAACACTGGGATCTTGTGCACTCTGCAACAGATGTGGGTCATCCTGGTACTGGCAAGATCACTAGGTGAAAATAAAGAAAAAGGAACCTTACATAGCCATCACATCTAAGTACTGGTAAATCACAACATATTTTTGTGGGAATTAAACACACTGTAAACACAATGTGATGAGATGAATGCTCACAAGCTTGTAGAATCATAAGACATTTGCATGCCTAGTATGGTGTTAATAGTGAAATGATACTCTGTGACTATCAGCCACACTCTACATAAGGGTCCAAGAAAGATAAAGAATATTCCTGATTTAAACAAATGTAATTTAATACTAAATCACATTTGAGCCATTTCAGATGCTCAGCAAATATTATCATTTTGATAAGTAAAACAAAGCTCATACTTTTCTGTCCAATTTCTGTGTATATCAGTACTTTGGAAATGCCTGGAAACTGACAAAAAAAACCCTTCATGTGCGTAATCAGTATTTC